TGTGAACAATCTCAATCTCTTCACCATCCATCCTGATGCTTCCAATTGGCCTAGTGGTGAGAATCTTTGTCTTCTTGACATTGAGCCTCAAGCCATATTGGAGGCTACAAGTCCTTGACCCTCTGTAGCAGGTGCTTCAGGTCCTCCTCAGTTTCAGCAAGCGGGGTTGTGTCATTTGCATAACGCAGATTGTTGATAGGTCTTCCACCAATCTTGACCCCACATTTCTCCTCATAGAGCCCAGCCTCCTGGATGATCTGTTCTGCATGTAAATTTTAATAACTACATAATGCCAACTGACTAGATTGCTCCCTCCCTCTAACTAAGAGTATCAATCTCATGAGGTGAATGGTTTTATCCAATAGTACCAGGATCTCTGTCCTCCCTACTTTTGGTTTTTGTTCTAGTTGTAAAATGATACAACACTTTGGCATTTGCCCATTTCCCTATACACAGTGTACTAAAAATGTTGTAGCATTTGTTGTGGGCAAACTTCCCCCCATGTTCACTGGCACCTTAATGAAGATCAGTTTCTGAATCTGTTCATGCCATTTCAGAAAAGTGGTGACACAGAATATCTATATGTATGTATGTTTGATATGTATGTATGTTTGTGATTGACTTGCCACGTCACTTCTAGAAGTTCTAGGCCTAGAGTATATCCATAGGAATGGAATTGTTGGGCCATATGGAAACTTTACCTCTACTTTTTTAAGGAACCATCAAACTAATTTTTAAAATAGCTGTATGATTTTACATTTACACCAGTCATGGATGAGGGGTTCAATTTCTCCACATCTTCTCCAACACCTATTTTCCATTTCTGGTTTTTAGAAATCTTTATCTTAGCCATCCAAGTGGGAACGAAATGGTATTTCTGCATTTCTGATAGCTAATGACTTTTGAATATTTTTTTTTCTTCTGTTGTTGTTAAGTGCCATCGAGTCATAGGCGACTCATAGTGACCCTATGCTTCTGTTAGCCACTTAAATATTCTCTTGGGCGAAGCGCCGGTTCATATCTTTTGTCCTGTTTTGATTAGTGTCCTGGGACACATTGAGGTCAAAGCAATATGGCCATAAAAATGAATAAAAGCTTATAGATATTTAATTTTTAGAGCCTCAAACCAAGGTCAGTTTAGCTTTGACTGCGTTTAGGAACCAGTTCCTTGGGCCCAGGTCATGATTTTTTTATGTTCACCCATCTGCTGACCCTTTTGTACAGGAAGACATCACTGCCTGCATAATGGCCGGCTCAAACAAGAACATGATTTTGTGACACAATGAGTTTCCTATGGTTACCTGGAAAGAAACTGAAGGTAGAGAGGGCTGTCAGAGTCCTTGCTGGTTGTGGTATTAGCCATGCTATATTGAAGGAAGGGATATGAACAATGCTGTCAGGCAGGAGATGTTTTCTGCTGGGTGTACTAAATGTCCTTACACAGTATCCCCAACAATTCAAACAGTATGCCCAGGTTTCCTCCTTAAATTTCAAGGGTTCACATCCCAATCCCAACAGTACATAGGTCAAGTGAGTGCTGTGATGGGCTGGAGTCCTAAAACAAGAGGGCACACACACACACACAACACAAGCTGCACTAGAAAGCCAGACATGATTTGTCAGCCTTTATTAAACAAGAGTGAAACCGAGCCCTAGAGTTTCCTTTTAAAAAAAAAAATCCAACCTTATGGCAAACAATGATTCAGTTCTTAATGACTTTTAATTGTATGTTCAATACTACAGAGCAAGAATTGATCACTTTCCAATCACTTGTTCTTCTGAGATTAAAATACAAATGTAAAACAAGATAAAATAAGATTCTCCCCAATGATTTAAAAAATAATTCCAATTGAAAGACATTTCAAACACTAGGTGTAGAACTCAGGACCAAAAAAAAAAGACCTTAAACACTTTTGTCTTTGAGGTAGCACAATGATGCTGAATTAGATTATTTTTTTAAATAACAATGAGCTTAAGAAAACAATGAGGAATCTACTTTTGTTCAAAGTGGGCTAAATGATTTTCTGCATCCCCCCATGAGGTTAGTGATAGTTTTCTCATTTTTTTAAATTTTTTATTTTTATTTTTAAAAGTATAAAGATAGCCCTGCAGTGTGTAAAAGGAAACCCCACAGGAAGGCTGCTTCCCATAAAATAGACATTAGAATCACTGAGGAACGTCAGCAGTCAAGACAGGAGGAACAAGAGGTACCTGTAGTGAAAAACCGAAACAACTTGGATCTTGGCAAGAAGAGGTTGCAAGTGCAAGTCAAAGCCAAAAATTCTAACACCAGCCAACTGAAAACAAAAGATAAAAGATGACATTCATGGGTCTTTTCCCTTTTTTTTGCTGTGCAAATCTGCTCCTTCACTTTTCCAAAACAAGAGAAGACCGTATACTGTTACATGACATGAAAATGCTGTTGGCCCACCTCTCACCAAGCTCACTGTTGTGAGCAGAGAATCCAGGCTTGCTCACTTTGCTGCTGAGCTACTCATCCAAGTGCTCAAAGCAAAGCTTGGAGAATCCACCACAATGATATGTAACACATTACATATAAAAGAATTACTAGCTGTGAGGGCAAAAGCCCAAGAACACTACCTTCAGAGAATGCAGCCAAGAGAAGAGAGTGGGTGAAGAGAGAGTGAAGTGAACTGGGGGCCAGTAGGGCAGACAGTGCTGTGGGCTGGAGCTCAAGGTTCTCAGGACTGTTGTACATCATCCAAAAATCAACTGAAAAGCCAGAGAAGAAGGCAAGAGGCTCCAACCCACAGGAGAGAACAATATAAAACAACTAACAAAGGAATCTTTTCCTAACACATGCTCCTCTCTGTGAGGCTCAACCATGGGTACAGGGCTAGCTTTGACACTATGTGGACACCACAGCTGACTTGAACTCGGTCAGGCTCCTGGTACCCTAGTAATGGCTGTGTCCTTTTTCACGCACACTGGTCCCTGTATGTTCTCCTTTTCTCTGGTGAGACCCCCTAGGGCCCTGTATGCATGAAGGTCTAGACTATGCATCCACATGTCAATGGACAGTCACATCAGGAGGATTCAAATCCAACTCTACGCTGGAAAATAGCAACTGTCAGTGAGTCAGTAGTGTCAAGAAGAGCTCTGTAAAGGGAAAGACTACATTGGGTTACATAACAAAGTGGGATGAAAAGACCCATCCCTAGCAGCCTGCTGGAGTGACACTGGCACAGAGTTTGCAGCCATCCCTAACTAATGCTGGTATGTGAGGTGGGAAGGGACATCTGCTTGGCATTCAAACAGAAGTCACACAGTCTGGGGCTGGACCTCTGTGTCACTCCTGAAACCCAATGTACCTTTGCAAAAAACAGGTATGTGCTGCTTACCTGTTAAAAGTCCCAAGATCATCTTTCTAGATTTATTTGTTAATAAAATGACCCTAAAGAGAAGAAGAGCCTTGGGGAAATGTGTGCCTACCACACAGCCTTTCCCAGTGCTAGCTGCCTGTTCTGGAGTTATCTGTCACAGCCTTTTACAATTCACACTGCAGTAGCTGCAATGCAGGCTACTCAGGGCAGTCCAAGAAGAATTCTCTGCTTTCACCTCACAAAGCACAGGAAAACAGTAGAAATACAAAGGTTGGGGCAGGTTATCCACTCTGGCAATCTCTTAGGGATTCTGTTTGTGGCAAAAGCAGAAGGCCTAGTGTACATGGACACTGGAAGGTGACCGTGAGGGCCCTATCATTATCTAAAACAGAATTAACTCAAGCCCCAGTATGTAATCTCTAAGGGATTTACTGAGTTACACAAATGGAAAAAAGATACAAAAAAAAACCCCCAAAAAAAAAAAACAAATGGAGGAAAAAATATTGAAAAGGGCTTCTTGATTTAATATAAATGTGGTCATAACACCCAAATTTATCTTTATGCAAATTTCACACTGCTCTAAAGATCTCTTGTAGCATCTTATTCTAAGATATTCTAAAGAGAAAAAGAACTTTCATTCTGAAATATAGCTAGAATTAATTGACCAGAGCTCTACCTGGTATAAATAAAAGGTTAAAAATTCTTAAAACACAAGCTAAATAACCTTTCTTTGGGATTAATAACTGGAACCCCAAATATCTCAATGTTTCAACTATAAAAACCTTCAAAATAATTCTATGAAACTATGTCACTTTTTGAAATTTAATGATCTTTAGGATGGATGCTAAGTTAGATGACAAACTCCACATTTATGAGGATGTCCAAGGGAAATTCCCTACAGAGAGAAATATTTTTCCTTAGTTTCAAAAAAAATAGCTCTTTGAAGAGTTTAAAAATTGATGGTTCAACAGCAAAACAATGCAACGCCTTTGGAGTAGAAGGAAAGAGCTCTGTTGCACACAACTATCGCTGGCACACTGCCATCGGCTGGTGGGGGCAACTGGAAACAAAAGATGGCAGGAGTTGCCCAGGAGAGTATTTGGGCTGGAAAAAGTGATGGCACCGCCAGACCCTGGTTCCTTATAAATGGACAGCAACTGATACATGCAAACCGTACAGAGGTTAAAAAAAAAAAAGCAAAACAAAACGTACTAAAAATATAAAAACCCAACTACCCAACCCAGAAACTTTCCTGGCTCTCAGCTACCTGTACAACGTGCCAAACGCTAGTTTTCTGTTCCAACATGGGTCCCACTGATAGGTTAGCTCTGGGGTGCTGACCTCTTAGGCCCTGGATAGGGCCTTTCTTTAAGCATTGTTGCAGGCTTGAAGTGGTCATTTGTAGATCAGCTGCACACCAGTAGAGTAGCACAAGGCCACGGGACCACAGGTCTCCATCATTTCTGCTGCTATTTTCTATTATAAAAGCAAAGGCTACGATTGTGAACAAATGTAAATTTTCTCAAAGGACAAATGAGGTCCAAGGCTACTAATAACACTTCCTCCCAAGAGGAAGGTTGGGGGAGGGTGTCTACAGTTGCACCACAGGTTTTTATAGACCTTGTGGTAACTTCCAAAAGCAACAGCAGCAGCAAAGAGGGAAAAAGAGGATGTTTACACTTTGGACTTTGTATCAGGCACTTAAAATTGTTGGAGAGACATGCCATTCTGAACCAAAGATGTGAAAACAGGGTTGGAGTAATCATTACAAATAGTCTAATAATGAATTTTCAGAAGCCAAGTGGAGGTGTGGGTTAGATCTCTGCTCATCCTTTAGTGCTGACTTTCAAGTCTTCTAAATGCCCATGGCCACACAAGGCAGCGGTGGCAGCTCAGCAGGGATGATTCTTTCGTGTCTGTTTTTTGTGGCTGACCGGAGGGTTTTGGTGTCACACTGAAAAGGCTCTGGGGTGTGGCACACCTACTGCGAGGGGTCATTCAGATCCATGCTGGAACCAAACATCTTCACTAGCTGTTCCTCATAGTGGGAGATGTTCCTCTTCATGATGTCCATGCAGGGCCCCAGCAGTCTCTCAAATGCTTGTACATCCATGACTGCATTGTTAAAAGAAGTGAGGGGAGAAAAATGAATTCTCTGTAGCAATAATTCAAGCCATTTCTCTCATGCAGACTTTTTGTCTTAAATATACTAATGTGTATTAGAGTAGATTAACCTCTGAGATACTCAGTACTTAGGAAAAGGAGAGATGATTCTCTAGATCACAACAGGAACAGTATAACTTTTTGTTTGAATAAAATTTTTATTTTATATTGGTTTGCTTAAAAAATTCATATACATTGTTTTTCACACTGGAACTTTCCCATTTCCTTTACCCACCCCTCCCTCGATCCATCACATTGTGTGACTCTATAATTAAGGTCATCCTCTCACCCCTCTGTTTCTACCCTCCCCACTTGGATCTTCACACCCATTTTACTAGTTATCTTTCTCATTCTACTCTAATGGTCTTATATAGTACTTGTCTTACGGGACTGAGTGAGTTCACTTAGCATAATGATCTCCACTCCCTCCCATGTTATGCAGAAATTTTCAAAATCATTGCTCCTGTATGTTGCATAGTATTCCATTGTATAAGTGTACCACAATTTCTTAATCCATTAAATTGTGATTTGACATTTGGTCTGAGGAACAGTAGCCTTTTAAGTCCTCAAGGGTGTGTGCAGAGCCCAGTAGCAGCTCTTCTTCCTCACAGACCTGTGCACCTGCTACCATTACTGCTCCACTGACCCTGCAACTGGTCTTATGTGCCCGTCTTGCTTCTGATTGTAGTCAGTATGCAGGAATGTTTGTCAAAAGAACTCATCTCTGGTTGGACATAGGCTTAGATGTGAGTCAGAGCTGGCAGAATATGTCAAGGCTTGCTGATGGAGGAAAATACACATGCTAATAGAAAAACAAACATACATTAATGAACAAAGAATTTTTCTTACCTAAGCATTTGACATCTCCTACTGCATAAGCTGAAGCAGCTCTGGGCTTATTGGTGACCAGTGCAAGCTCTCCGAAGTACTGCCCCTTATGACAGCGGGCAATCTCGACCTCCTGGTTCCCGCCATCCTTGTTCACTTTAGTCTAGAGAAGGAAGAGGACACACTTGGTCTGATTCCAGAACCATAACTGGGTGAGTCCTGCTATACACACTTTGGTTCTCATCTCATTGTGAATCACCTTATTCAGTACCTGTTAAATTACATGGGTCTGCTTAGCACAGCAGTCAGCATATCCCTGGAGCTTCATTTAAGTTCCAGTACTTTTCAGATAATAGCTAAACTAAGTAATAATTTAAGTAAAAAATTATTTTATTTATTAGTAAAAATTATTCTCCATTTCTATGTGCCACACTGTTACAGGCTGCTGGAAAAAGAATTTTTATTTTCAGGTAATTATTTTTCTTTTTTTAAAATTAATTTTGATGAAAGTTTACAGAGATTTTAGATTTCCATTTATTGATTGCTGCACATTTTTCCCTGCCCAACCTCCCCCCACAGTTCGCTCCTCTCTTTGAAAAGTAAAAGTCTTTGTTATACAATCCCTCCCAAGTCCACTCCACTATGTAGCCTTTGTTCTGGACTCCTGTCATGACAATAATACCTAATCACATACCCCTTTCAAACAGTTGTCTCCTTCATCTGTGTCAATGCAGTACACATTATCCCCTCTTTCTCAGTCTTCTCCCAACCCCATGTCAGTCCCATTTGACAACAGTGGCACTATGCAGTATTTGTCATTTTGTGACTGAGATATTTCACTCGGCATAATGTCCTCCAGGGTCACCCGTTTTGTATAATATTTCATGAGTTCCTTGTTTTTCAATGCAGCGTAGTATTCATTGTGTGAATACACCACAGGTAATTTTTTTAAATAAACAAAAGTGCCACACTATTTTACATTGTTATGGCTTGATTTTTTTTTTCTCCTCCATATTTTTAACCTGAACCTTCTCTCTGTTCAGTGAATTCATTGGGCTCATATGAACCAAAGCCCCCTCTCTAATTTCTGTGACATCCTCTAGAATTCACACAGGCTCGTGTCTAACCTAGTCCTTTCCTGTCACACTGTCAGGAGCACCAGTCCTCTGAGATTTTGTTACAATGAAGATTCTGAATTCAGCAGGTCTGTGGCAGAGTCTAAGACCACACATTTCTGACAAGCTTCCCTTCTGTCCCCCAGAAATGTGATGTGATTGGTCCCATGCAGCATCTAGCATTATTCTGTGATCACAGTAGGTGTCAACAAATATTGGAAAATAGTACAAACGTATTTCAGTAGTCCAAACACCATACATAATAGAGATGTTTCAAGCCATTGTTTCTTTTGAAATGTTTTTATCTATTTTAAAATAAAGATCAATTTATCTTGACACACTACTAGGAAATGAATGAAATGAATCTGTCTTAACTATTTATAGGAAGGGAATTTGTCAAATTAGAGTGTGAATTGAGGAAAAACAAAGCCCCCCCCCCAAAAAAAAATCAAGCTACCTTATAGAGTAATCATATTAATCTATTCTTACTCATACTAATTTTTCTTATTAAGTTTTATTATAGTCTGCAAAAGGCTTTAGACAAGGTTGGTTTTGTGTTATACATAAATTTTTTTCCCCAAAATGGAAAATAGGGAAAACTAGTCATTACAGACTTCCTGCTAAGAACCACTTTTTTATAAGTTATTAATGTATAGTTATCTAATCATCAGATAGCCATAATATCAACTATCCTAGAGACACACAAGGAGTTTAAACAGGTGGTGACTGAAGAAAGTCTAAGATTGGAGAAAGTTTCAAACTAGGGTTGCTATGAACTGGAGCTAAATTGTTAGCCCTATCAATAACAATAGACTTCCTTTGGCAGTGCGCCGAGGAGGGTTGTGGGTTTTGGTGTTTTTTCATTCTTATTGGCCATTTGTACTTTCTATTATAGAACATTTCTACTTTCTATCAGATTGTTTATCTTTTAAAAATTTTATCTCTAGATCAGTATCTTTCAGTAAATTACCTGTTGTTGTTGTTATGTGCCCGTCGAGTCGTTTCCGACTCATAGCGACCCTATGCACAGCAGCCCTAAACCCTGCTCTATCCTGCGCCAGCCAACCGCACCGCCTCTGACACACCCATCCCGATTACCCCAGTCACCGAATCAATCCATCTCATAGAGGGTCTTCCCCTCCTGCGCTGTCCCTCCACCCTCCCAAGCATGATGTCCCTCTCCAAAGACCCGTCCCTCCTGGCAACATGTCCAAAGTATGTCAGACGAAGCCCCAGAATCCTTGCCTCCAAGGAGTAGCTTGGCTTAATCCTCTCCAAGATGAATCTGTTTGTTTTCCTGGCAGTCCATGGTACATTCAGTACTCTTCTCTAGCACCACAGCTCAAAAGCATCCACTCTCCTTCTGTCCTCCCTAGTCATTGTCTAACTCTCTGATGCATAACAAGCGATTGCAAATACCATGGCCTGTATCAGGCGCACCTTAGTCTCCAGAGAGACACTGTTGCTCCTGAGTACCTTTGAGAGGTCCCTAACAGCAGACTTTCCCATCGTGATACACTTTTTGATTTCCCGACTGCTGGTACCAAGAGTGTTGACTGTGGAGCCGAGCAAACTGAAGCTGTGAACAATCTCAATCTCTTCGTCATCCATCCTGACACTGCTAATTGGTCCAGTGGCGAGAATCTTTGTCTTCTTGACATTGAGCCTTAGTCCATACTGAAGGCTGCAAGTCCTTGACCCTTCGCAGCAAGTGCATGAGGTCCTCCTCAGTTTCAGCAAGCAGGGTTGTGTCATCTGCATAATGCAGATTGTTAATAGATCTTCCTTCCACCAATCCTGATGCCACAATTCTCCTCATAGAGCCCAGCCTCTCGGATAATCTGCTCTGCATACATGTTGAAAAGCTATGGAGACAGGATGCATCCCTGACATACACCCTTCCCAATTCTGAACCATGCAGTGTTACCTTGCTCTGTTCTGACTACTGCCTCTTGGTCCAAGTATAGGTTTCGTATTAGCACAATTAAATGTTCTGGGATTCCCATTCTTCTCAGAGTCAGCCACAGTTTGTTATGATCCACACAGTCAAATGCCTTTGCATAATCAATGAAACACAGATAGACATTCTTCTGGTATTCTCTGCTTTCAGCCAAGATCCATCTAACATCAGCAACAATATCCCTAGTACCACGACCCCTTCTAAACCCAGCCTGGACTTCCGGCAGTTCTCTGCTGATGTGCTGTTCTAATCGTTGAGTAACAAAAATAAAATAAATCTCTACTAAAGGATGGCTCTTTAACAATCACTGATCTTATAGAGCAATTATAGAGCAATGACAGGTTATTTACAGAAACTTGAAAAATCTCTTTAATTCAGTGTTTTAACCATGGGTACCAGGGACTGAGGTCTTCAGGCCTAGCAGCTGGCACCAGATTAGGAGGGTACTGTAGGATGCCTGAGAGCCATGATTCTTAGGCTGCTTGGACTACACCTTGGTCTTCAGGAGCACCCTCTGGAGAGTCTTGTTTATGCTGACATCCTGCACAATTAAGCAGACCAGCAATGGTGGCTTTGGTATACCAAACACACTTTACATTATTTAACACGTTGCCGCACACTTTTTAAGTTGACAACTGTGCTTAGAAACACATTTGCCGTCATTTGTGGCAATGTGTTAAAACAAATGGTTACTTCCTGTGTGTACACCTGGCATTTGTTATCTTCACTGCATTCCACCAACACATGTAAACTTACCTTGCTTTTGATCAAGATGCTCACTTCACCGGACTCTATGATGTAAAAACTATCAGCCTTTTCACCCTAAAAGGAGAGAGAAGGCGAGTTCAGAAACGTACACGTATACTGAAGAGGAATGCAGAAACAAGAAATTCCTGCTGCCTGAACTCTGTATTTGTTTTCCAACTCCAGAAATTAATCAACTGGCTCACAAACCCAGGGCAAAACAAGAACACCCTGAACACTGAGGCTATCAGCTCAATACAACTGACACAAATCTCTAATCTCCAAACATGGAATGCTCACATATCCATGAATGCATCTAGGCTGCCAATGGCAAACAACTCATTCTGCTCTCCTCTGGATAGACAGTAAGAAGCCGTGGTGGTGCATAATGACGCACTGGGTTGCGAACCAAAAGGTCAGCAGTTTGAATCTATCAGATGCTTCACAGAAAAAAATATGTGTAATCTCTCCTCCCATAATGATTTATAGCCTCAGAAACTTGGTGGAATTGATGCTGGGTCTTGAGAAAGGTACTTTTACATGTGTTGAAGCCCCACTCACAAACCTTTAGGCTTTTCTTTTGTTTATTTTTATTTTAAACTACCTGGCTGAACTAGTCAATCCTGTAATTCAACAAATAATTTGTTAAGATTCTAAGTATGGGGCATTGTTCTATGCATTAATATAGGTCAGTGGACAAAACAAACATCCTTGTCCTGTGGAGTTTACAATCTAGTAGATAAACTATAAACAATCAACATTAGGAATTGATAAATGATAATGTAGTATTGCCTGGGATCTAAGCGCTATAACATTGGAAGAAGCAGAACAGAATGTGAGATCTGAAGGGTTGGCGTTAGTACACAATAGGGCTTTATCTATAGTACAGTACTTGGTGTGCCTTACTGAGAAAGATGTGAGTAAAGGCTGAAAAGAGGTGAATCAGGAAAGCAGGTATGGGGGGAGGTTGTAAGTGTAAGTGCATTTCAGTCTCATCCTGCACTCTTAACTTCTGGAGTAATGACTCTGAATAATTCAGCACTGATAATGTGCTCTTATTGTAGGTAATGTGTCTAGTAAAACTGCAGTTCTTATAAACATGAACAAAATCTCATGTCCTTTAACCAACACATAAAGCTCTAAGTAGGCAGCATACATAGCTAAAGCTGACAAATAAATCTAGTTCAGGTCACTGTGGGAGTGGGAGCCATAAGATTTACAGAGGGGCAACCTCCCCCCCCCATGTGATTTACAGCCTCTGAAAATCCGCTTCAGGGTCAGTTATGAATTGATTCCAACTCAAATGTATATAACAACATTTTCAAACTTTCTGTTACCATATAATTCTTCAGAAATGGACTCAATTATGTTGGAGATGGTGAGGATGCCACAGCATAGGACAAGATTCAGATTCATTGTTAATAGAGTCACTATGAGTTGTACTCAATTCAACTGCGCCTAACAATACCTGTGTTGCTTCACTGAAGGAAGTATCCTACACCCAACAGTGCTAAATTACAACATCATTTTAGTTTCATATAAACAGTTGCATGACAAGAGTCAACAAGAAATAGTGTCATGAAAGAAACTAAGGAGAAAGCAGAGGTAGGGTCACCATGAGGGAGGTTTCTAAACTCAAGGAGGGGTTTCAGAAGATGCCAGTCAGTGCCACCGGGAGGTCAAGAGTATAAAGATGCAAATGTGAGGAAACATCCCAGTGACAAAAAGAACATGCTTCCGTGGGTGGGAGCTCAGTAGAGGAGGAGATAGATGATGAAGGTAGGAGCACGAAACCCTTTTGTTTAGAGAGATATATAATATCCATAATTTAAAGTACTCTAATTTCAAAACTACACATTTCTAAATATGTAACACCTAAATTTTATATGTAGAATTTCTACCTATTCAAGTACCACCTGTTGTTGTTGTTGTTATGTGCCGTCGAGTCGCTCTGTCCTGTGCCAATCGCACTGTCTCTGACACTCCCATCCCAATTATCCCAGTCACTGAATCAATCCACCTCATAGAGGGCCTTCCTCTCCTGCGCTGTCCCTCCACCCTCCCAAGCATGATGTCCCTCTCCAAGGACTGGTCTCTCCTCACAACATGTCCAAAGTATGTTAGACGGAGCCTCAGAATCCTTGCCTCCAAGGAGCCACCCGGTTTAACCCTTTCCAGGACAAATCTGTTTGTTTTCCTAGCAGTCCATGGTATTCTCAATACTGTTCTCCAGCACCACAGCTCAAAGGCATCAATTCTCCTTCTATCCTCCTTGGTCATTGTCCAACTCTCTGATGCATAACAAGTGATTGTGAAGACCATGGCCTGTATCAGACGCACCTAGACAAAAAAAAATTTCCAATCCCCCTAGAACACTCACTCCTTCATGCCCTTCTCAGGCCCTGCGCATGAGCTGACAACATTCTGAGGTCTGCACTAGTTGACTAATTTTGGCTTATCTTTCATTTCATATAAATAGAATTATATAGGATATTCTTTTTCATGCCTGGCTTCCTCTACTCCACATCATTAGACTGTACTTTGAAAGTGCTCTTGAGAGGATAATCACAGTGAGGGAAGGAGTATGTATATGTTTTGGGGACAGAAAAAATTTACACGTTTGTTTACAGGATGATAAAAATGAGCCTAATGAACAGAGAACACAAACAACAGAAGCTGCCAGCATTGCTGGACACTCACTCTCAGCAGACACTCTGGCAAGCATTTTATTATGTATGTTGCCTTTATTCAATTGCTAAATAAGTCTATAAAGACAGATACCATGACTATTTCATTTTAAACATAAAATTCTAGAAGTTTGAAGGATAAATGACCCTGTCATAGGAGGTAAGTGGGAGACCTCGTGAATTCAGGCTTGAGTGAAGATGGGAAGGAAGGTCACTGAAAGTACAGAAGAAGGTAAGTCAGGAGGCAGCTCCTCTCCTCTGGACCAAAGGAAGAACAGGCTAGCCAATTTATTATTTTAAAAAATATATTATGAAATATTTTTATTATATTGTGAAATATTTTAAGGGGAACATTTCTATAGCAAATTAAGTTCTCGCTAAGAAGTTTTTATATAAATGATTGCATGAATTTGCCAGCATTCTCATTACTTCCATTCCTTTAATTCTGTCACCACTGACCACGCTTCTCTCCCTTCTCATCTTTTTTTTGGGGGGGTGGTAACTGTTGACTATTTATTTTCACTCACATATTAACTATTGAAGGGAGAATATCATTCATGGGTAATACTGTTTATTTTGCAACAGAAAGGTGACCTGAGGAAATAGTGTCAATTCCAAATTCAAAGAGTATTTTAGGGCAATAGTCCCTGCAGTGTCTATTGATCCAGTAGGTCTGGCCTTTTTTAGGAATTTGAGTCTTGTTCTACATTTTCCTTTAATTCTATGTGGGGGCTTCTATTGTATCCCTGTCTGGGATAGTCAAGAGTGGTAGCCGGGCTACCAGGTTATAAGAGTCTGTGGCTTGTGGAGGTTCTCAATGCCACAGATTACTTTAATCTGTGAGCCTCTGACAGCCTTCATGATCTTTTGCTCCACATGGAGACCAATAGTCATATCTTAGTTCTTTATAAACTTTCATTAAAATATCAATTTAAGAGGGGAGCTCTGGTGGCCTAGTGGCAAGAAGCTGCACTACAATCCCAGAGGTGCATGGTTCAAATCCACCAGATGCTCTGCCGGGGAAGGAGGAGCAATCTCCTCCTGTACCAGACAGATCTGATTTGACGGTACACGCACACAAAAAATAATAAAGTAAAATAAGAAAAATATCAATTTAAAAAGTTTATTAAAGAAAAAAAAATAATGTGCAAGCTTTTAAGATCCCAGATGCAAAGCCTGTACATACTAGGGATGATAGAAAGAGAATTGATGCCTTTGAACTGTGGTGCTGGAGAAGAGTGTTGAATAGACCATGGATTGCCAGAAGAACAAACAGGTTAGCCCTAGAGAGGGTGAAGCCAGCCTGCTCCTTGGAGGCAAGGATTCTGAGGCTTCGTTTGACATAACTTTGGGCATGTTGCAAAGCGGGACCAGTCCTTGGAGAGGGACATCATGCTTGGGAGAGTGGAGGGACAGTGCAGGTGAGGAAGACCCTCAATGAGATGGGTTGATTCAGTGACCAAGGTAGTGAGGGTAGGTGTGTCAGAGACAATAAAGTTGGCACAGGATAGAGCAGGTTTCAGTGTTGTTGTACATATGGTCACTATGAGTTGCAAGTGACTCAACGGCATGTAACAACAACAACAAATTAAAACATGTTTTAAATAATGCACAAATTAACTTTTCAATTATTTTTAATGAAATATTACCTTTTAAATACTGTACAAAGTACATCATTATGAACATAATGAAAATATTTCACGAATCAGGATAATTTATTATGAAACTAATTACATAAAAATATATGTATTAATATAGTTAAAAGAACTCAGGAGAAACTCTGAAGTGAATAGGGGCCAGGGGATCGCCTGATAGTATATAATGTGGTCTTCAGAATATTCACAGACATTTGACACAGATACTAGAGTCCCCTGCAATTAGCGCTGGCCTCTGTTCTTTCTATTGTATTGAAATTCCGGTTGGACACCTGTGCTAAGGAATACAACTACCCTCAAGTACAACCCACAAGAAAAACAACATC